TAAAACTCTGTTTTAGTTGTTACTCTGATTAGTTACATGTTATATAATTATAAACATTCTGTTTTAGAATTAATAATTATTTTATATACATCATAAAATTATAAGTAAGCCGTGAAACGTAGATTGTTTTTGGGAAGTTTTTTTACATATATATTTAAAGCAAAACTTAAAAACCGCATTTTTCTTACGGCCATACATTTATTCGAATCATGTGAATGCATAGGAACTAGTCCTATGAAATTTATATTTTTACAAAACATGTATCAAGGTTTGAAAATAGTTCATATAATGTTAAATGACAAAAAAGTTTCCTACGTGAAACTGCTTGTATGATAGAGACTCTAAAACAAAATAAATATTTCGCTTACCAAAATGTTAGTGACTGGTGTTTTCATCGTTATAGGAAGACGCTTCCACATGAAGTAAAATCAGGGAAAAAGAACTGAAAGTGGAAATGACATACATGTGATGATTATAAACGAAACAGACTAGGAAATTTTACTCATTTGTTATTGAGAGATCCGGTGATGCTCCTCGGCGTGTTATTCAGGCACATTGCTTACACAAAGTCAGACGTAAAGGTTATTGTTAATGGTTTGAAAATTTATAAAAAGCACACTGTCGTGGCAATCTTTAATGTTCCACCCTACTCTTTTCCTTGCGAGGTTAGGGAAAACCACTAAAGAAGTGGTCGTATGGTACACAGTCCGTCTTAGCACTTAAACAACCCGTTCATCAGAGAGATACAGTTTATTAATATCTTCCATTTGAAGCAAAGGTCTTCTAAGTTGCAAACTTCGCCTGAGGCTTTAAAAAATTCTGTACGCATATTTCGTCTTCCCTATGTCCCACGCATCAGATTCTTCAAGTCTGTCTTGGTGTCGAGTCCCTCCTGTGACTGATGAGATTCATATTATCTTTGATCACACTTCCTTTGTCACGGCAGTTTGCCTCTGTACTCAAAATCATCCCCAGAACCAATAATAGGCAGAACTATTGCGACGTTGTGCTATTTGGTAACTGAAAAGAAGTAAACAAAGCAACGTAAGTATACTCCGACCCATTTGACATATTCAAGTATGGCACAGCATACTGCTGTTTAAATTCTCAAATTTTTCGAAGATGACACTTGCCAATAAACAAATACACTGTTTTCAAACTTCAAATAACTAATTCTTAAGTACGGGCAATGCCTTGCTGTATGCATCTTAACCTGGACCGTCTTTATGTCCACAGGAAACTACGCGAGCCCGAATAATTTTATTTCGATTAATTTTTTTTTATTTAAGAACTGTGTGAAAAAATATCGAGTATTTTATTTAACTTGCATTCGATAACTGCATTTATCACTTCATATCAGAGGATAGCCTAATACATACTCGTATAAAAAGATTAACCTGCGCGAAAAATCAATTTTTGTCAAAATATCGTGACAATTAAAAACAACAAAGTTCTGAATAACTTTGGTCTGTGTTCAAATTAGATTTGTTTCATTCCGTTAATTTAGTGATGTACTACAATATGACTTCGAAGCATACGATAAATTGAATTTATATTAACTTGTGCAAGTGAGTGAAGTGTAAATCATCAAGGAAACTTTATTACCCAATGGAAAGATCTTACATTCGTCGACTAATGTGGTGTATAGTACAAGCCATATAGCCTCGGAACGGGATATCCTGCCCAATTCAATACAAGGAAGATGAAGAGATAGAATTGCGTGTTAATAATTCCAACACTGTATTATATTATTATTCTTCTTCTTCACTGGCTATACTGACCACATAGGTCTTGACTTGTATTTGACAGTTTATCAAATTCTTTGTAAGATAACTGGCAGGACTCTTTAACGGGGCTATTGGTTTTCACCCACACAGGAAAACATAGACACATCCGTGCTACAATTAGGATTCGAACTCACTACCCCAATGTTCGATATCTAGATTCATGCCCTAGAGCACGCTGTGACTGTGATCGACCACTGTGTAATCAACTCAACAGATTATCTCATCAGCTAATGAAACAGTTTACAATAGAAAGCAGTGTTTTGTAATCACTTTATTTAAACGTCATTAAACATTGGCACAGTTAGTAAAATGTATAGGGCACCTCTTTCTTATTTTATTATATATTGTGGCTTACCATATGCCACACAATCATGTTGTCAGTAACCAACTATTAACTTCAAATAATGTACGATACTATAAAATTAACCATTAAGTCAAAATACTTTTCAAAAAAATAAAAATAGGTATAAAACATTGTTCATAATATCACTTATGACATAACTGAAATTTCTGTGACGAAACACCGTGTCGTGTAATAATTTTACAAAAGGACACAAATAGCGTTGTAAAATAAAATACTTGTTCTTCATTGGGATTTCAGGTTTTAACGGCGATGACTAAATAGATGACTGTATTTTGGGTTGGTAGACGTTGGATGATGAAATCAGCAAGCACCGGTAAACTTCTTCCAAATACACGACGTAACAAATCAGAAAATGGCCATTTTCTTTTTCCCTGCCATGTAAACCCAAAATCTCGCATTATTATTAATTAATTTTTATGAAATTTTATAAGGCATCTGTCCATGAGCTAGAGTAAAACTGCACGTAAAGCCTATTATTATTATTATTATTACATGAATTGTTTAATTGGTCCACAAGCAGCCAAAAACTTCAGGCGTGTTGCCGTCATAACTCGGATGCTTGCAGGCCAGATGAAACTGTAGTCACGGCTCGAACCACGAGATAGGCGGCTACAGTGAGTTGGGGTCGTGCGCACGTAGTAGTCGGAGCGACCCAAGAAGCACGGCCTTTTGCATCCGGCTGAGTAGTGCTTCAGCGTTACGCTGGCATGCCGGAATGAGCTTGATGTTAGCAGCATCTGTCAGTACAAAGACTGTCCAGGGCACGCCACGAGGAGGCTGCTGATCCGATTTGTGCCCCTTATTATTATTATTATTATTATTATTATATCGGAGTATTAGCGATGTTGATGACTGTAAACTGTTACAGGACGATATTTATTCAGTGCAAAATTGGTGTCTCGTGAATGGGATGCAACTTAATTTAAGTAAAACGACTGTTATATCATTCACCCGAAAGACAAACAGTATTTACTTTAATTACAAATTGTGTAACAACCTGGTGGCACGTTCTTATTGTATTAAAGATCTCGGTGTTCTACTGGACTGTAAGCTTGGCTTGATTCGGTATATTACTTCTTCCTTCTCCACTGTTGATAGCCTATTGATTCAAAAATTGAGCATGCTTCCGTTGTTTGGAAGTCTATCACTAACACTGACTTCTTTAAATTGAAAAGGATTCAAAGGAAATTTGTAGCTCTATGTGCGCTAGATTCTTTAATGGCGTTTGTGCCTATAATTGTGATGATATATTAGTCAGATTAAATTTTTTATCGTTGCATTTAAGGAGGGGGCTTTTGGATGCTCTTTTCCTCGTTAATGTTTTTAAAGGCAAAATTAGTTGCTCATCTGTTGTTGATACAGTTAGTCTCTGCATACCCATTAGGTCTATCAGAGACTACTCTACCTTTACTGTACAACGTAATTTCAAGGCCAGTCCCTCTGCCAGATGTGTTTCTGCTGCCAATGCAGTCTGTAGGAGCATCGACATCTTTAACAAAGATCGTATTTTGCTTACTGAGGTCAGTCAACTTTTTAAACAATAATCATCGTTTTTTTTGTTTATTCATTTTCTGTGCTGACTGTATTTTATCTTATTTTGTGGTATTAATTTTATAAGTTTTTTCTGTTTTGTTTTCTTTAGTATTTTTAATTGAATTATATTACTTAGGTATATTTAGTTCATTTACTTATTATTATTTTGTAATAAATTAAAACTGTACATTTATATATTTAGTTTATTGTTTGTTTGTTTTTGTATCGTAATGTTTGTATTGTTAGTGCTTGGCTGTTATTGGCCTTTTTGGCTGTTGTTAAGCACTTTAATAAATTAATTGAATTGAATTGAATTATGCACCATCTAACAATGCATCCGTCCATGGGCGTGGGTGAGGTCTCTGAGGCATATTAGATATTTGTTCCTGAAAAATACATTTGAAATATATGAAGTGATAGTTAATATCCTCCTCATCATCATGATATGTGCCGGTGTTATAAAGTCTGTCTTTTGTAGTTACACGTTGAAATATTTACCAGGGATGCCATCAAAATACTTCTGAAATTATCATGACAAGCTTCCTGTTTCACTGATAATTATCTATGTCATGTTCAACTTCACATACCATGCGGTCTATATATGAGGCAGTAGTTTGTCCTTGTAATTTAATATTTTTCGTCTCGTTTCTATTGTAAATTTCCATTTATTAGTATAGAAAACTTAATTAGTAAAGAGGATTTATTATTAATTTTTTATTTTGAGGTATTTAAATTTTTGAAAATGTTTTCCCCAGACAACGATAACATTATCGGCAAGCTTCATTTCTTATTAAAGTTTACAATGGCAAAATAAATTTCCATTCCATTACGGACACTGTTAATATTTGTGTGTCTAAAAGGCAAATATTTTTCAACTTTAAGCCTGAGCAATGCATTAAGAGACAGTACTTTAGATAGATAAGTCATTATTGCAACAGACATGGAGATTTTTTGTTTTTAGCAAAACCGTTTTCTCCTTTGAGGAAACTTTTTCAGTATGTGAAAGTATTTAGACTGATTAAATGTACAAGTACTTATTTTAAATTACTTTCTATTCTTTATATTTACTTAGTTTCTTGTGCTAGATCTGTAACTGGCTCTTGTATAGCTGTTGAGTTGGCACGTAAAATAAGGAACTGAAATATTATATTCCTTTGAACTAACGTCGTAAATCTCTGTGTTTCCGCACTGCTTTCGCTGACAGCCTCCTCAACATAACAAAATAACATAACGTTGCACAACGTAGCAGTTACCATAATTCCAAATCCTATTTAACTTCGTGATATGTGTTTGGTTATTATTATTTTTTGTTACAGGTAAGTGTCAACTCGTTCATCTGTTTCAAAGGGTCACTGTTCTCTCCATTTTGACGTCACAGTAGCTGCTGCATTGAAATGGGTCAGCTGTACCGTATCGGAAAATCATTAGCACCAGATTATCAGCTGATATTCAAGCATGAAACACAGTCGAAGTGGCAGGTACTGTAGTAGCGAAGTACATCTTCAGATACATTGTTTGACTTTAAAAATTTAATTTTACTTACTCATTGACTTGAATTTAACTCTGAGACACCAAACCAAGGACTCGTTTTGGGAAAATATTTGATCATCCTATTTATCAAAACAAAAATATTAACTACAGTATTTTCAACGAGGATATATATATATATATATATATATATCACTAGGATGGTAAAAAAGTATTTGAGAAAAATTTCACAAATTATGCTTTTCATCCTGTGGGATTATGAGATTGAGTACAAATAATGTCTGCCGGTAATATTAGAAGGAACAAGAAGTATTAGTATTAATTTACCATGAAGAGGGTCCATACGGCGAGGTTGGAGATAAATATTATATTAATTATTTATTAGATAATTAAGGTATTTAAGGACGTTGCCTTGAAGCGCTAATGAAACACGTGTTTCTTAAAACCATGAATGAATACTGACACAATTGTTAATGTTGAGACTATAATAAACATACATTTATACTTATTAATATATAGTTTGTATACCCACGTTATTTCAGTAGAGAAAACTGTTCTTTTTTATGATTCGATGGTAATTCTTTCAAAGATTGTTTACTAACTTAAAAATATTGTAAAGACAGCTCAATACAGGGACAGTTCCTCTTATATACACGGTAATGAACTTTCAGTTTCCATAAGCTGCGGTGTAATTCTCGACAGGTAATGAGACGCTGTGTTTCTCAGAAACGACTGTAATTCAATTAGTAGTACAGAACAAATGACATTTGTTTCTACCCAATTAATATGGAAGCAGGACTAAAAAAAATAAATAATACGGCTCAGTACAAAGCAACCTAAAGACGACAACATATTTGTGTGTGCACTTGCATGGAGTAATAGCTTGGCTACAATACGAAAACAGTTTTTCAGGCTTTACGCGTCCGTTGTTAGTCTAAATGGCCACAAGAGTGCGAAGAATGTAAGTTTATTTGAAAATTATTTTGTGGTGAAATATTTTCCTTCGGTAATACTGATAAGGACATAACGACGAAACAGACGAATAAATACAATGTAATGCGAGAAAAAAGCTTTACACAGAATACATCTTCCGAAAAACTGAAGTTCTTATCTTGCGGTACACAGTATGTATTTTGGGTTCAAAAAAAGGCGTTGAAGCAATTTATTTAGTAATAGTATGTTGGTCCATTTAAATACATCAAATTATAGGTTCATATGCAGTTGAGGGGATAATTGGTAATTGTCAGAACGAGCGCTACCAAAATTTTCCTATCACAACTTTTTATTCAACAGTAGACTAAATGATTACACAGTCTGTCTCAGAGCACAACAGCTCTATTAAGACTGTGTGTTCTATATTTTAAAAAATAATTAATAATTTAAATTTTTATCTAAGTAACAGTATTGTTTGTTAGTACTGGAACATATTTCTAAATTATAACGAATCATCAAATTATATGAATGTTTTATCTAGATTTCATTGATAATATATATACACCACAATTAACAAATTCTCTACGTACACAATTAACTGTCTATGGAAGTTAAGAATTCTAAGTCATTTTCCAGTAGTAATAATACAACGTTGAGTAAGAATGATGAAAGATGTGCTATTGTTAAGAAATAATTACACGAAAGTCAGAACACAACAACAGCATCGTATTATCTGTTTGAAATGTCCACTGTGTTTAACTATGCATACATGCACTCTCTTTCTTACGTTTAAAGAAACCCGCTGAACAGCTTCTGCAGTGAAATTTTCAATGCACAACCCAATATATTTACTCAATTCCTCTCATGTTACTGGTTGTTTTCCTTCGAACTCAACGCCGCAAAACATTCAGATCGTTAACATCTGCCCCACCGTCTTGTTTGTCACATTCTAAAGGGGAAATTAAATTCATAATCAGTTCCTGGTAACGAAAGTTTCACCCAAGAAGTTGCTACCAATTGTCCTCCGTGTTGAGACAGCACACTATTCTCCGACTTCTAAGGAGTGTAACGGTGCTTCATGGAAGGTTTGCGAATTTTTATAACTCCATGTAATTTTGTTTTGGCTACTAATGAATCCATTTAGGCGAAACCATGCTTCATCACAAAGTAAAACTTTATCTAAAATGTGTATGCCCTTAAAATTAAGTACTAAACCATCTGCAGTATTTAAGTCGTTTCCCTTATTAGGTTCTTTGTATTCGTGCATGACATGTACAGAGTATGGACGAATTTTTAAAATACTTTCAGCCTTATGTATACTTTCGTAGGATAATCCACTTGAAGAAAAGGTTTTCTCACTGACTTAAAGAAGCTAAGTTTAATGGATTTTCTGCAAAATGTCGTCACTTAACACAGAAGGTCAACCACAACCCTTTCTGTTTTACATGCTTTCTGTGTTACAGAAAGTGTTCACCAAACGAGGTACTGTTAATTTTTTTTGGCTCAAGGGAATCGGGAAATTTTTTCCTGAACTCATCTGGCAAATTAAGTAAGAACGAGATGTCAGGTAGTGTTCGACAAAGAACACTCATAGCACTTGTAGAAAAAAGCATCCTTTCACTTCGAATTTTGAAAGACAACTGACGTACTGTCGCTAGGAGGTTACAACATGGCGTGACCTGCGTGGGCTGTTGAATAGTCACATCGATATTTTCTGTTCATTAATCCAGTCTAATTACAATGAATTGCATCGCCGAGATATATTTTGATACGGGTTTCGTGACTCCTCCTTAACTACGCACTTAACGTTTTCTATATTCACTATTATTTAGAGTAATATTTAATTGTAAAGTAAATTCTTATTTATTATATCTAGAGACGTTTCGACGGTCACAAGTAAAGAAGGAAACGAAGTATATCTAAAGATGACATAAATACAAAATAAAGCATAGCTTGAATTGGGTTAGGATAATACACAAGTATCCATGTGACAGAATGCAGATAATAAGGAACCCTGGACATTCGAAACGGGCCATGACGAGTCGAAGTTACATTAAGCACAGCCGCGTTCAGCCCTAGTTTAATAGAAACAATCCGCGGCCATGGCAGCATGCAGTGAGTTTACCGTGACCACGGTGGACAGAAATGTCTGTTTTATGTAATTGTATGTCACCATCATGTTTAGTTTGTGCCCAGTGTCACGTGGCAAATGGCCAGTCTGTGAAATTGATTTGGCGAGCATTAAAGTTGAAAATCTAGTGTGTACTGCATTTTGAAATTTACCACATTCGCATACAGTTCATAGAGATAACATGAAATTGTTAATGAAACAACACCTCTTTGCGTTACTGTCACAGAACATTCCGTTACGAACCAAATAGGAGCTGCAGGTTTCAGGACTCTACCTCACGATCTTTTACTTGGGTGAGAAGAGACACAATGAGGATCATACGTATTATGTATAATTTCCGGGAATAACTTTCACTTATTGTTATGTTGACTCGTCATTGAAGGGTTGTAGAGGAAATATTAGGACCAAACCGAAATGTAATTCTTTAAAATTAAAAACATCGTCAACTCAACTGCACTCTAAACAATATAAGAACTTTTACTCTTTTGATATGCTAATGAAAAAAATTATTTATAGAAATTCAGACACCACGTCGCGGTTATTACCGCATTTACGTATTCTGAAGTTTCTGGGTACAGACTTCGACTCGAAGAATGTCTTTTCTGACTGAGGTAATTCGTGGCTTTACTAAGTCCCCCCAGGCAAATTCTGATATAGCACCTTAAATTAGGCCACAGAATCTTCTTTCTACATATTTTCAAATTCATTATACATTAATCATGCAACCGTTTACACTATACACCTGAATTATTGACAGCCTCGTTGGGCATTACAAGAGCAAATACTTGTAGATATTCTGCTACTTTATGACCATGCATCAGTATTAAGACTGATGTGAAAGAAATTGTTTTTGGCCTACGTCGAGATAGTAACGAACAATCACCAGAATATAATAATAAAATAACTAAACTTATACCCGACCCTTGCCACAGGACGCCATCTTTATTCAAGTGGTACATTCTTCTATGGAATATTCAAGCTTTGTCGTCGTTTCGTGGCTAGTGGGTGGTTGGTATACGGTTTTGCCAGGAGCTTCGTTCGTAGAGGCGAGATTAAAACAGGGCGCATTACGAGTGTCTGAATTACAGACTGTAAGGATCGAAGGCGGTGACTGGTTGTAGGGTTGGGTTGTACATGCTCGACACAAAATATAGCAAACAATTTCTTGTTCAAACGACTAGTATCTTTCCAGACTGCACACTGAGTGTTCACTCACAACTGACTGTTTGCTCTCTGGCGACCTTCTGGCTCACTGTCGAAATTCTGAATAATTTTTGATATTCTTTGATTACCTTATGACTCACTGTTCACTAATTATTTCCTGGCGCAAGTCGGATTCGTTTACATTGTACTGAGAAGCCTGATTGCTTGATTATACACGCTTGCTAGGCATTTAACAAGTTCACGGACTTAAAAATATGATTCATAACTTCAATATGCTGCCTAAATTACTAAAACGTTATCATTAAAATGAAAATAACTCATTTAATCTTGAGTATGGAGACTTAGCGTAATATTACCATTATTACAGCATTGTTTAATAACACTATAAACGCTCAACATATTTTACATAACATAAATTTGCAGCTTTTATTTTGAAGCCTCTACAGAAGTATCGTCAAGTGTAGCAAAATTTCGATAAGTTATTAGCTAAGTGCTTGATAATATAAGTCGCACTGTAAGTGAAAAATGTTGAATAAGGACAATATATATAGAAACATTTTGTCTGCTAATAAATGCTATGATATAATAGAACATAAAAATGTGTTTATCGATGTTTCGTTTCAGATAACTTTTACTTGAAAATCAAATTTTATGAAACTTTCAGGGAAGTTTAATATTTGAAAGAATGCCAGCTCGAAACTTTATGGAAATTTAGAAAAACTTCAACACAAATAAGACTATTATGTGCCTTTGAAGTTGGTG